AGTAAAAGGAGAATTTATAGCTACACACAATGGGAAGACTATTAAAATTCCTCTTTACACTCGAAAAGAAAAGTATAATCGCAATAATGTTTTCAATACAGAAAAATGGCATGCACCAAAAGATTTCGAATTTCCTGATTCATTTGATACTACAATAGCTGAGCAAACACCAGAGAAGCAAAAAAAAAATTAAATAATCGAACATGTAAGTATTGTAGTAAAGAGTTCAAATATCCATCTATTCTTAAGCGTCATTTGAGATTAAAAAGTATGTGTAGCAAACAAGGCTCGAAGAGTGATGAGTGTAACTCGCCCCTACAGGCCTGCTCTGCAATAGAAAACTTGACAACAACTGATCGGGTTAGTCCAACAACTGATCGGGTTAATTTGACAACTATTCCAGTTAATTTGTCAACTGTTCCAATTCGACTATCTCTTGCTTAATCTACCTTTTGAATGTATATTTTTTTATTGCGATGCGATGTCATGTGTTTTATTTCAAAAAAATTCGAGCCTAAATTCGCAAATCAGAGATCGAAAAAAAAAACAAACGTGGGAATGTAAGTATAATCGATATTTACAGCAATCAACCAATAGTGTGCTGTTCTATATCTGGGATAATCATTGCAAAACGGAAAATTTCAACCATAGTTCATCCGATGTTCAACCGTAGTTCAACCGTAATACAACCATAGTTCAACCGTAGTACAACCATTGACAAGCAAATTACTCTTTTACTATATATTTATATGAATGTTGTGTTACGCAATCAATTTTTCAGACATGTGAATTTCGGAAATTTGGTAATAGTAACAGTCATCAGGTCGTACGATTACATCATGGATGAAAAGTTCCATGACCTTCTAATTTATTCTGTGGCAATACAAACGGATCAATTACGCGGAACACTTAATTTTTAGCAGTCACGAATTACGCAATAATAACTTTATCGATAGTAATCCCTTTTATTAGTTTTTATATGGTCTAAATATTGTAGGGTAAGCCCATTGTAAGATAATAGATAGGAGTGTGAGGTAGAGACGTTTAAAGGGAGGAATAAAGCATAAATGCCCGCCGGCCCCTAAGCCTTTTACATAGTAAAAATAGCGGTTCCTTTCCCTACCCCACACTAGCTATCATAATTACCGTCATCATTACTATTGAATATATTACTACTACTTCCCATGCTACTAAAATAAGTATCTTTCTTTTTTCCTTCTTTCTCGACCCAGGTCTCGATTTTATCCAGTGAAGTTCTTTGAGGAGATTTCTGATGCCGATAGAAGCTAGCAAGTGTAGCTGGACTGAGCTCTAT